TTCAATCACATTAGTTTTGGACTGGTTTGAATGGCATGCGCAGGTGGTACTCTTTACAACAGAAAAACATCGGTTATCACACACACACACACACACACAAATGCTTGTATAAGCTATTATATTCGATCAATCGAAGCTTATTTAAACCAGTCCAAAACTAATGTAATTGAAAATAGTTAATTAATGTTTGTAGTATTAAGGCACTTACTTCATCCAAAGTTAATAATTCTCTATTGTACATTTTGCCTAAGTATACCTTATTCTTCAAACCTTCCAGTTTTTGCAACTGCTTAGCAGTCACCATCTTATAACTGATCGTGTTTTCACTAAGGGCAATCGTATTCACGAATGTGTCATTAGTACAAAATAATAATATGGCATTCAGAAATCTTTTACGTTGTTACATTTGTGACAGACAATTTGCCCCTCGGCTAATAACCCGAATAGATGAAGATGAGAATGCAGACAAACGTGAAATAGCTATTTTGAGACGAGATGGATTTCATAGGCCGCCTCTTGATGTAACATCTCACGAGAATATGCACTAACTGTAATCAATCAATTCGTAACAAAGTAGCTGCAATAGAACAAGATCCTACTTGCTTAAGACTGAATGTATTGACGCAAACTACAAATAGTACTTGTCTGATTTGCAATGTTGCTAATGATATACACAGGTTATCAGTCAAATGCAAAGCTAATGTTTTTATTCTACAAAATATCTATATTCCTGAAAATGTGAGATCATGTAGACATCATTTAGATGAGTGAGGTTTTATTTTCCAACCGTTGTTACTTGGTTTGCGTTTTGTTAACAGGCCATACGTAATTAGAGGACTACAACTCCAAACATTCTTGCAAGGACTTCGTAATGTGGCAAGAAAGACGAGAATTGACGATGAGAATAGTTTGTCTGATAATGAATTTGAATTTTTCTGTCCTGTGACAAAAGAACAGTTTCGAGAACTATTTACTTATTGTGAAAGAGTACCCTGCGAAGGTAACTACAGATATATCAGCAAAAAGGACCTGCTGATGTTTTTGTGTAAAATGCGTTAGGGACTCTCTCATGATTTTCTCAATGCTATGTTCCAATATTCAAGTAGACAAACAGTAAGTCTGGCCATTGCCACCGTCAGACAATCATTAATGCAACAGTTTGTTCCTAACAATATTGGATTTGACGCAATTACAAGAGAAAATTATATCGAAAGACATGTGACGGAGTTCTCCAACGAATTGTATAATCCACAACCTCAAATTCCCCGAGTAATTGCATCCATCGACGGTACTTACACGTATATTCCAAAAAGTAGTAACTTTCGATCTCTTCGGCAGTCATACTCCGTTCACAAGGGGCGACACTTAGTGAAACCTGTTCTGATAGTTGCACCTGATGGCTATATACTCGACATTCAAGGGCCGTACTTCTCTGATAGCTGCAATAATAATGACGCTCGTATTCTGCAGAATGAATTTGTAAGAGATGCTGATAGAATGACAACGTGGTTTCAAAAAAATGATATTGTTATAGTGGATAGGGAATACCGGGATGCCACTGAGCTGCTAGCCCGCTTAGGTATTCTGTGGAAAATGACGGCGATTATTCAACCAAATGAGCGTCAACTCTCCACAGAGGATGCTAATGATTCGCGACTGGTTACAAAGACAAGGTGGATAGTAGAAGCTAGAAATGGGCACATTAAATCCATTTTCAAATTCTTTGAGAAAATTATACAAATCCAGCATCTTCCAAATCTAGGAGATTTTTACCGGATAGTCGGAACTATTATTAACATGTATCACCCGCCCATTCTCATGGAAGGAGCCAATGTTGAAATGGCCCAACAATTACTTGACAAGGTGAGGAAACCAAACGTCGTTCAAGCAATGGTTGAGGTAGAAAATCTCAAAACCAGGAATGCTCAAAGATGGGTTCGTTTGGATGCTGAACAATTGTTTGATTTTCCAGTCTTGACGGTGGAATTTCTAAAAAATCTCACAGTTAGTGTATATCAAATCAAGTTAGCACCATTTTATGTGCAAGATAAATTACAAAGAGACGAAGAAGAAGAGTTCCAACTTGAAATGTTAAGAGATGTAAACAGATTACCACAGCCAGGATTGATGAGAATTAGAGTTTTTTCACGATTCCGCAATGCAATGAAATATCAGCTATGGATTTCATACCAACCGACTAATAATGATGAGGTGAACGATGCGATGGAAAATCACAAACGTACTCCCATACAAGGTTACTACTGTACGTGTAAGTCCGGCGCTCGAACTCTTGGTACCTGTGTGCATATTGCCAGTGTCCTATGGTTTATGGGATACGCATGCCATCAAGTTAACATTTGCTATCCCTCAACAAGACTACTCGAGTCTATACATGACGCAGCAAACAGACCGCAACAACAAAATGTAAATATTGTACCAGAAGTCATTGACGTTTAGATTAGATTGCATTCTATTATCTATTATATGTATAATCTATTGCCACTTTTTATTTCGGTTCCGGGAATGTTTTAAGACTGGACTGGTCTTATGTTAAAGCACAAACACTCAAACCAACAAATACTCTGATACGAAATAAATAACGTGCTATATCTGACATCTTCTAAAAAAGACCAACTTGCATTAATGTATCATAAACGTATATAACCATGCATAACGGACACTAGAAACGCACGGAACATTTTCGACAAAAAAATCGGCCCTTTTTAGGGCCAAATAATGTGCAAACTCCGATCGCGCAACCTCCTCGCGGTGCACATTGGGTAATTTTAATGCCGACGGTAATTGCTTGGTTAACGTTAATTAATTGCATATGTGCGTTTTATTATGAAGGAATTAAACGCTCTTAGAATTTAATCGATAAAAATGTTGATCAATTAAAACGAAATTTTTATTCACACACACACACACACACACACACACACACGCACGCACGCACACACACACACACACACACACACACGGTACCAGCACTATTATCCACTGTAAACGTTGAACTATACCGTGAGCCGATGAATGTATTTTCGCGATGTTTGACGCTCTGTATCTCGAAAACTGTCCATTTTTTGACATCGTGCCCATGGACACTTTTGATCAGGACGTCATGAACTACATTATACTACATTTTCAGCCGATTCGACTGAGAACCATTTTCCATAAGGTTTGTGCGGGGTCCTTTGTCTCTTCAAGAATTAGGAACGAAAATCGAGGAAATAACAGATGAGGAGACACGAAAAAAGTTTGAAGGTTAGTTTACATATATATTTTTTTTACATTTTTTTAACAAGCATTATGATATTTAGAAATATGAAGCATCAAATAGCAAAATTTAACATTTTATTATATATTTATTGTTACATCTCGGAATGCTATCTCAGACTTTATTCTTTTTGCAAATTATTTATACAACTGCCACATTCCTAGAATATATATTTATATTTAAAAATTGATTAAATGTCATCTTTCTTTTTTTACATATTTATCATGTCTATTTATTTATTTTATTTATTGATAATAGTTATAAAATAATAAAGTTATTTTTAAATCATGTTATTAATATTACAGGTGTAAAAATTTTATTAAAATATATCAACAATGGAGCCTTTGAAATGTTTTATGTGTCGTAATACTGTAAAGGGAGAGTTAAATGGTTTGGCAAGACATTTTACAATAGTACATGGCTTGACACTCAAACACGGAATAGACAAAGTTGGGTTTCAATGTGGTCAAAAAATTGTTATCGAAGATTTCTTCATTTTTACTCTTTAAGAGATCATATAAGGAAAATTCATTTTTCTCGAAAAGAAAATTATAACTTTTCTGTAGAAAATACAGAATCCACTTCTTCGTATGATGATATAATTATTAATGAAAATGATGCAAACAAAATATCTGAAAATTCAAATAATGTAGAATCCTTAAAAATTTGTGACAACTTTAATTTAAGAGATTCTTTAATAAGTCTAATAATTAGATTACAATCAAAAGTATCAATGACGGGAAGCATTATAACTGATATTCTTGATGAATATGAACAAATAACAAATAATTTGTGTTTATCGTTAAAAACTAAAGTTGAACAATTTTTGCAATCTAAAGAAATGCTTCATGATCCTGATGTTAATAATTTATTAAATTCTTTTGAAATAGATAAATCTTTTGAAGGTTGAAGAACACTTGAACAACAAATGGAAGTTTTAACAAATAATACAGAATATATCAAGCCTCACGAAATACCTTTAGATACACGTATAGAAAATGCAATTGATAAGAAAACACTTCTGTACCAAGAACAATTCTTGAAACTTGTCAATATGTTTCTATAATAGATTCGTTAACAATGGTACTTAGAAATAAAGATATACGCGCTGTAATAGAAGCAGAGAAAGAATCAAATAATGGCATTCTTGCATCTTTTATTGATGGGCAGCATTTTAAAAATCATCCTTTTTTTCAGAAATACAAACGCCATTAGAATTCAACTTTATTATGATGAACTGGAAATTGTCAATCCACTTGGCTAAGACCGGTATTCATAAATTAGGAGCCTTTTATTATACAATACAGAATCTTCAATCTCACATGAATTCTGAAACAAGCAGTATTCACGTTTTGCTTCTTTGTTGTCATGTTGACATAAAAAAATATAAAATGAAAAAAATATTAAGTCCTTTCTTAGAAGATCTTGTAAAGTTAGAAAGTAATGAAGGAGTTGTTATACTTTTAGAAGGACAAGAATATATTTTGCGTGCATCATTAACTGCATTTGTTGGGGATGAATGGGGAAATTAGCTATCCATGAAGTATTTAATTTGCTAGGTCCATCTTCTAATTTTTTTTGTCGAATGTGTCTTTATACTAGACAAGATTTGCATAATGATAGCATAAAAATTAAACAATCAAGAAATATGACAGTTTACAATGAGCATTTAAATTTACTACATAATGCAAACTATAGCGATAATGCTAAAACGTTAACAGGAATGCATGGAGAGTGTTGCTTACATTCATCTCGTTTCTTTCATATATGTAAAAACCTTATTTTTGATCCAATGCATGATATTCTTTGTGGTATTGGACCAATGGTATTAAAGTTAGTTTTAATTCGTTATACTTTGGAATTGAAATTCTTTCATATAAATGATTTTAACAACAGAATAGCATCATTTCAATATGATTTTGTTGAAAAAAAGAATAAGCCTTCGGCAAATTTTAGTAAAAGAATATTGCGTGTAAAAGGGCATACTTTAAATCAAAAAGCTATGCAAATATGGTGTCTTCTTCGCGTTTTCCCTTTCTTAATTTCTGATTGGGTCTTGACAGGAGAAGAACATTTACAACTGATTCTTCTTTTGCTAAGAATTATGGAAATCGTATTTGCGCCAAAAGTTACAGTTTCTCTAGATTTTTTAGAAACATTCAAACAACTTTTCCCTGATGTACATATGATAAATAAATTCCATCATTTAACTCATTATCCAGATTGTATGTTATGGTCAGGACCTCTTCAATTGTACAACTGTATGCGTTATGAAGCCAAGCATAATGAAATAAAACTTAGAGCACAAAATGTTCATAATTTTAAAAATCCACCAAAAACATTAATAAGAATTGTTCAATGTTCTCAAAGTGCTAGATGGGGAAAAGGAAATGCCACAATTATTCCAGTTGAGCCATTAAATGGAGAAACAGTTACAGTGCAAAATTGCCAAAGTCGTACATATTTACATGATCTAGGATATGTTGATACTGATTCTATATTTACCACTAATGCTATAAAAATAAATGGTGTGGAATTTCGACTTAATTTATTAGTATGTCTTAAAATTGATAAACAAAACGGAAAAATTTTGCCTCTTTTTGCATGTATTAAAGAAATTTTAATGTTGAATAAAAATAAAGTATACTTTTTGACCACATTATATAAAACTCATTTATTTGATACTGATTTTAATGCCTATCATGTCGATTGGGAAATGCATAACATTTCACAGCTTTTTGTGAACTGTCTTAATCTTGCATATTACAAACCATTATCTATCTGGTCAGAACCAACATCCAATAATTTTTATGTCAGTCTCCGTCACATTTTATTATGATGGAAATGGAGTTTTTTTTTATCGCATCATTTTAGCAAAAAATGTAAGATTTATTTATTAGTCTTTAAATATACGTTCAAATCATAATTATATTTCCATATTTAATTATGTATCACATTGAATTTTATATTAAGTAACTTGTAATTTTTCAATAGATTTTTCAATAGAAAGCCCTCAATTATTTTTTGTACGACTCGATATTGATCTTTATGTTATGCATTTTTTCTATTGTGATATTTTACTATTACAGCTGTTATTTTTATAAATATATTACAATTTTTGTTTATCTTTAGATGAAAAGATCGAAGGCTCCTTCTTTCCTTTTACTCAATGCACAGGATTTAAATGATATGAAAATAAAGAAAGGACCAGCAAAAAAGATTTTAAAATTTCTTGAGAAATGTTCTCAAACTTCTTCTGGGGTAATGTTTTACTTACTAATAAAATAATCTTTTATACATATAATTTTTCCGACATTATATTTTTCTTTTTTTCTTTTTAGGTTGCTAAATGTGTGGAGCAACTATTGGATACAGAAGAACAAATAGAAATTGTTGGACAACTAGGAAAAATTATTTTAGCTGCAAATATTGACTCTGAAAATTGGACAACAATTGCTGAAAGACCATCTACCAGCAGCAATATTGCTTTAGTTACAACTGCAACTTCTAATGAAGAAATATCTATACCCAAAGAATCTTTTTCGGTATATTCTTTTTTGTATCAGAAAACTAAATTAGCGTTTATATTCAAAATATTTTTAAAAAATTAAAAATTTTATATAATGCAGCGTTTCACAACTGTTCGTAAGACGCTTCTACATCATCCGCAAGGTGCTAACGTTTTGGCAGCTGCAGAAGACATATTTACAGAAAGTCACAGACGAAGCCTTATAAGAATAGTAACTTCTGAATTAGTAAAAACACACAAAGATAAATAGTAAGTTTTGTCTCTATAAAATGAAGTTGTATTCAATTAAATTTATATTTTTATGAAATTTTGTAAAATTGTCCTACAGCTATCCACCTGAAGAAGCCAAAGTAGCTCTTGCCGAAAGCATTGTAACAGAATTTCCAAAATTACGTAACCCCGAAACAACTAAAAGATATGTAAGAAAAAATTCACAAATTATTTTTTATTTTTTTAATATAAACTATTTAATATATTTTTCTGTATAACTGTTATATAAAATGAATTATTTATCTTCTTTTTTTACCATTTTAAGGAACTTTACTATGATCCATTTATTATAGTAAAAGAGGTTTTATTGAATATCGTCTTTGGACAATTAGAAAAAAGATTTTACCTGCCAAGAAAAAATATACTGCAAAAAAAAGAAAAATAGGTCAACCTTCATCCTCTGTAGACAGTTCAGATGACGAAAATGATGACTTGCTTTCTGAAGATTTGTATCAAGAAAAGGTGCGTTATGATACTTTTTTGGATATTAATAGCTTTCTCTAAATTACACAAATACTTTTTTAAATGATAGATACTCTGATGACATAGAAAAAAATTTTCTTTTAATTTTCTACATTTTTATTTGATATATCTATCAGATTTCATGGATGAAATTTAAAGTACCGTCTAAAACGAATAAATCTGCAATATCAGAATGTATGAACATTACTATGAAAAATCGAAAAAAATGGATTTTAGAAAATCTTCCTACAATAGACGAAATATTTGATCAATTTCCTCGATTAGCTGATTATTCTGGTCAAATGGTGAGTAATAATGTTTTGACTTTATAATTTATATTTGTATTAAAGAGAAACACATTTTATTTTCTTTTTTTGTTTTTTTAACATTAAGAATTCATGTATTTATAATAAGTATATTTTATTTCACTTTATTTCTATGTTTTTGATTACAGATTGATGAGGAGTTCGACAGATTGTACAGCGGAGCTTGTGATAACTTTTTAACAAAGTTTTCTACATATTATGTTCCTAGAATTCTTACATACTGCAACACAGTGAGACAAGATTTATATAGAGTTTCAAATTTTATTGAAGAAGGTATAGTTCAACTCTCTTACTTCAGTTTTTTAAAATATTTTACATTATTTACATGTATATTATAATACTAATCGCAATTATTTTATTTTATTTTATAGAAAATCTTCGTGCCATATTACTTTTAGCGTATTTACTCCCTGTGTCAAATTTATTGAGGAAGGGAAAAGGAAAAAAAAGGGTGTAACTTCAAAGAAAATAAATATTTTGAATATATTATATAATTTATATTATGATTTATTTATAAGTATACATAATTATTGGAAAAGCTTTATCTTTAAATTTAATTGAATAAAATTTAATTTCAAATTATTAAAATCACTTACTTTTAGAGTTCTAATAAAGAAAATATGAGGAAAGAAGATTACGACGATGTATATTCTACTACATTTCCTAATTCTTCTTTAATACAAATTTGGCCCGTAAGTTTTGTTAAATATTCATTTTAATTTTCTTCGTTTTAATATTTATTTAAATATTCATTTTAATGTTCTTTTTTATAGGAAGGATGTAGTATGGAGAACAAAATAAAGGAAATGAAAAAGGAGGCACAAGGTCCAATTTAACCTTATATTATATTAATCAAAGGAAAAAGTTTAATTTATTTTGTTCAGACTGATAATGTTACATTGACTCCAAGTATCAATTCGCCAATCATAGCACTTGATTTATTATTCAAGGTACATTATGTTTTAAATGTTACATATCCTACAACACTACTAAACTTTTTCAGTTTCTTAGAAAATTATTGTTTTAAAATTTCATCTAAAAAAGCACATGCTTTTGTATCTTCTACTCATATTAATATTTGTAATACCACACCAATATCAAATGTGATAGATAACACATCAGATACATAAATTTATTCAGCAGTTTAATTTTATTTTATAAAATAAATATTTATGTTAGTTGTTTGCAAAATTCTATAAATTTATGGAAAAAATTATTTTATCATTACAATTTATGTTGTTTTTCTTAATTTTTATTTTTGTTAAAAATGATATACTTAGTTTGCATTTTATATAATTTAATAATGCATAAATTTTTCATTTTTATTTGATATATCATTTATTTAGTATATAGTATTCATTTATTTAGTACATCATATAACAGCATATGTTGAAAATAGTTTTCAATTTAAAAAAATTTTGCAAACAATAATATTATTTTTATATTCATTTATTAAAATATATTAATCATATGCCCATACAATTATAAATTTATGTATGTGCACAAATTATTATATATACATATGTAATGTATCATTAAATTTTCTATTTAATGTATATTAAAATTGATATACATTTATATTTTTGAATTAAATGCATTATATCAGCAACTGAAATTACCTGTTCATATTCACTGTTCTATTAGTTAAGATTTACTGATCTAAGCAGTACATATTCACTATTCTATTAGTTAAGAAATACTGATCTAGCAGTACATATTACTAATTTTACTGTGTATAACAACTATTTTCAGCAGTCAGATATCACTGCTGGAAACAGTTACTGTAGTCAACTGATTTCATCAGCAGTATTTTACTAGTTTGCAGTGCTATACTTATAACTATGGTCATCAGTGACAATTCACTGATGTACAGTTATAATACACTGATTGACTTTAAGAGAGTACACCAGCAACAATATTTTGCATACTCGAGTACTTGAGGACCCACGGGTACTTGAGATCTCATAGTCGTAACTGATTTATTGTTTTCGTTGATATCGATAAATCTGATTATTCCTTCATTATCGCGTATATGTAAAAAAATACACGGGAAATGAATCTCCGTGAGCGCTACTTCCCAACGCCCGTGCAATTCTATACGTTGGAGTAATTCGGTGGTGAAACACGTGATTGTATTTTCCGGGAAGTAACGCATGCTACTGTTGCTCGGGAGAATCATATAAAATTCGTCCTTCCTCATTTTTTTAATTCAAAGATCTTAAACTCGAAGCAAGTATCAAAGAGTCGAATTTTGAGGGATATCCTTACCAACTAACTAGCAATTGTTTATTGTTGCAACCCCTGCTTTTTATTATTCGCTCGACGATAAATTCTTCCCCTTGCAAATCTTTATTGATCGGAATTAATTCTTGTTCGTAAAATATGCCGTCTATTTTCTCACCCGCTAAATCGCTTAATTCGTATACGCGAGGTTTTCTCCATTCGAGAACGCGGTGAATTCGAAATATTTCCTCGTTCCACTTTGCCTCGTATCCTTTCTCAAAGACTACTTTTGCCCTACTGACACGCACGAGATCTCCCTGATTGTATTTAGCCTTTTGTTTATCGCTGTGCTTCTTTTTTTTCTTCTCGATGTTGTTGTCGTTGTCGTCGTCGTCATTGACTTTCCATCGCCGATTCATATTTTCACGCGCGATACGGGCATTTTCCCGCGTGACGGCAGCGGGTTGCATTTTAATAGAGGTATGTCGGGTATGATTGTAAGCGTGAACGATATCCTGTAAAACATCGATGTAACGTCGCGTATTTTTATGAGTAAAATAACGCCACATCCGTTCCTTGAGTGTCCTATTAAAACGCTCAACTACAGCTGCTTTAACATCGGGATTACGCGCCACGCAAAAACGAATGTCTTTTTCTTTTAAGAACTTTTGTGCAGGTTGAGCTATAAATTCTTTACCTTTATCCGTCTGCAGGTAGACGAGTCGACGCTCTTTGTTTCTCAAAAGTATACGTTGGAAGGCTTTTGTCACGCAGGTAGCTGTTTTGTCGCGTAATGGTTCTACCCAAACGAACTTACTAAAAACATCGATAATAACGAGTAAGTAAGAATATCCGTCTTATAACTCTTGAGATTACGAATATCGATTAAATCTGCTTCCCATAAATCGTCGATATTTGACACGTTTTAATGTAAACGTGGAAATTTTCGACGCACCGAACGATGTAGCGTAGATGCATCCTGAGATTTAAGCCATTCGACGACATCGTTACGCGTAAAATTCGGTTTAGCAGCTCGAGATAAATTCTCCGTTGCGGAATAACCAGCGTAATGCGAGGGAACGTAATATAATTTTTCGAGTTCCATTATTATAATTTACGCCAATGAAATAAACCCTTTTTTTTCTCAGGCGATGAATTCCCGTCACTTAATGTTTTATTATTGTCACTGTCGTCAGTGACGGATAAATACACTGATTGTGAGTCTCCTTCGGTCTCGTCTAACTTTCGTCTGAACGATCTTGAATGCGCGAGCGGAATTTTCGAAGTGGAGCTTCCGCGCAGTAGTGACTTTTTAATACGCGGAGATCTACGCGAGTGCATAGTCATCAAATCACGATTTCCTATAAGGCCGGATGTCATTCAGCAATTGAGCAAACTGAATTCTTCCGACTGCTTTCACCGTTTTTCTCTCGCGTATCGCGTCGTTTATAAGATCGCCAATTTTCGACCCTTCTACAACGACACCGTTTATAGTCACGAGTCCGTGTTTATCCCAGCTAATCTTCGATGGCGGAATTTTTAGCAAATATTTCAATAGCGCGTTTGCTTTAGAACGATACGTTTGCGGTACGCTGCTGAGTATTTCTTTGATCTTTTCCGCGGATTGTGCACGTTTCTTCCCGAAACTACTCTCGCTAACAGCTCCGCTACTGCTGATCGAAGTATTATCATGAGTTTGTATTTCCATAAAGTCGTCATCTGTGCGCGACTCGATATCTTTATCCTGATCGTCGTCGTCGTCGACATTAGTAACGTCATCGGAGTTATTGCGCGTATCGTCACGTAAGCGCTTTTTCGCTTCTGGGACAAAATAAAGATAGCGCTGAAGTACTTTATACAATTTCCATCTTTTGCCTTCATCGCGGGAAGTCGTGAGGTTAAGAATACGCCACATTTCCGCGTCAAGTCGCGATAAGAGGGTTCCAGGAGTTCGTATGCTGAAATTATTATTATTATCATTTTCCTCATTTGTTATCGTTGTATATCTTTTCTTTGGCAAATTATTCAATAATGTTTCCGTTATTTTCGGCTGTATTTGACGTTGTTGCATTTGCCGCATTCTTTCGAGATTTTCCGTAGAAATCAGTACTATTTTTTTCGCTCTCTCCATTTTTCCGTATGACAAACGAACGTGTTAAATATTTTTATAACTTTTTTCTAACCCAGAGAGAAATCAATATTTATAGCGCTATATATTTTTTATTTGCCGATAATTCTGGCTAATATAGCGCTTAACAATGGAGCAATAAGGTAGAGTAAAAAACCTCCGCGTTGTACCAACAAATTTCTTTTAGTTTTCCAATTTCCGCGTTTTACTGCAATGCGTCAAAGGATAGATTTATGCTTGGCTAAACGTGACTTTTCATGATTCTCGAGCGGTACGTTTCCCTTGAGCGTATTATAAACACACTATTGAATACACTTTATCAGATTATTGTCGGCAGTACGTAAAAACGACGTCCTTTGATTTTTTTTCATATAACAAAGAGTTTTCAAAAGGCAGACGTTTCTTTCGCCGATAGACCGCCTGGCGAACTTTATTGCGGACGAATTTTTTCAACGACGTCGACGTCTCTCTTTGTTGTCCTTTTCTTTGCGTGTTACCATTTCAATAAAATTGCGCAATTGACAAGTTTCACGTGTAAATGCAGCTTTTTTATACGTCCTCCGTTACTGCTCTATTTATCGATCTACAAGGAATGTAGACGTAATGTGTCGTATTGTTGGGAAAAATACACGTGCGAAATCGATATTCATCTGGAGTCGATTGTTTCAGATCGAGCAATAAATACCCGTGAGGTCGTGAGGTAGCATCGTACCCAGTGAAAACTACCTAGTCAAAGTGATGTCAATATGACATCAAAACTGTCGTATGTCGTCATTGCGTCAAAGAAGTAATTCAATATGACGAAAAATTGACATCATATATTTTAACGTGCATAATAAAATATTATATATAAAAAAGATTAAAGTGAATGTTTAGAAAATTTAGATGATATATTGTAGTAATATGTAGGGAAAACTCAATCAGTGTCATATTGATATCAAAATGACTATATTATGATAACACAATTTGATTCAGTTATATATTACCTCCAGCGTTATTTTATATAGTATATATATATTGCATATATATATATATATATATATATATAAGGTGTTTTTCAGTGTCGTGAAATAAAACTGCCTTGAGTTTCTGTAAATGAAAGATTCTATATTACCAATATAAATTGTACTTAAAATTACATTGCTTTACGTTACCTGTAAATGAAAGAAACAACATTCACAGCTAATATTTCACTCTCTTATTATTAATCCTTATTGCTATCTTTAATCGTCTCTACGCGTTCTATTTGTATCATCCACGTGCACGAGTCTTTCTGTCTCTCGCTCACTCAAATGCGCATGCCTATCTAACTGTGTGGCAGCAGCCGGTTTCCCGTGAGCGGGATATTACGAATTCTAGGGAAGACGAAATATAGCCACTACTAGCCATATTTCGTTACATCTCCCCCCTTGGAGTAAAGAAAACAGTAGATGATACTAGTTTTCTTGATCGTCATGTACCACTGGTACCAGTTTTGTGATATGAAACAATGATTCTGACTTCCTTTGATCAGTCTGTATCTTGTAAATAGAATTTGAAACTTTTTCTACAATTTTGTATGGTCCGGTTTTTAATTCATCTAATTTTTTTCTGTTTAACCTATGACTATTCTCTACATAGACTAGGTCGCCTATTTTAAATTCATGGTATCTTCTGTTTTTATCGAATATTTTTTTGTTGTATTCATGAGATTTTTTTGTATTCTCTAATGCAATTTTCCTATCCTTGAGTAGATCTCCGTGTGTTTGTTTTTGTTTTAGTTCTTCAGGAATTATTGCT